TGATTTCGGCTGATTTTTTATGAATTCACGCACAGTTTCGATGGAATTTTCGGTGATCACGGATTTTGATTTGCCCACGTCGTCGTCATTTATGTCCTCACGACCACTTTGAAAATGTTCAAACCACTCGTGCACTTTGCTACGGGATAGGCAATCATCGCCTTGTTTATCCATTGAAACTTTTCGATAAAAGTTTTACCAATTTTAAAACAAAATTTAATGTTGGCTCTTTGTTCGAAGCTCATTTTCGATACAAAACAAACTGACACTTAAAACGCAATAACATAATTTCCAATAGATGAAATGTCATGAAATTATTACTGGAAGTCGATAAAGGATAGCAGATTCTAACGCACTAGTCGACATATAGATGGCGCCTCTAGAGTTTACTTTGTTACTTATTTACTGTTTACTTTGGAACGCACCTTGTATAAGGAAATATATGAATGGTGTTATTTTCTTTAATAAATAAATAATAATTAGTTAAAAATCATCCAAACATGTAAGGAAGGACTAAGTTCAGGTGTGACCGAACATTTTTTACTATTGCATCCATTTTTTACAATCACAGGCAATATGATGCACTATTATTAAGAAGAAAGAGATTCCTTTTGAATTTCATTGAGATTTCTTACGTATTGAACGATAGATGCGGTGTAAAGTCAACCGGAAGATCAAAGATATTTATATTAGGTATATGGAGGCACAATGTCACAAATTAACGGATATAACCTCACATCAGCTGTAAGATACTGGGTGTCACAAATTAACCGATATAACATCACATCAGCTGTATGCACTGGTGTGCATATATTTGGTGCCTGGGTCCTTGAAAAGCTATGGTCCGATTTCGACAATTTATGGGCATAATATTAAACATATTAAGGGCTCTCTTCGTGCAAATGTTTGAGTTGCTTACTGTAAAGTGAAAGAATCAGATGGAATTTAAAAGTATGTTATATGGGAAGTACGCGTGGTTGTTATCCGATTTCGCCAATTTTCTCAATGTGTAATAAAAATATTTGGATTACCAAATTTCGGACATTTTGCTCAAGTAGTTCCTGAAATATAAAATTTTAATAAAAGTTGGGTTGTGCCATGCCCATTGTTAAATTTTTACATCTTCTACTATAAAACCTTTTACTACCATCTTTATTTAGTGAGTTATCGCACTTTTATTAGTTTTTAACATAAAAGTTATATGGGTCGCGTGTTCCTGCCCACTTTAGCCAATTTAGCCAACAGATGTCGCATTACTGCGATTTCCTGTATCAAATTACAGTTATTTATCCTAATTTAGTGCTTAGTCATATTATTTAGTATAGGTTTTCGTTTAATGGCGTCCAACCTCCCTTGGTTGAACATATGTAGCAAGTTTCGGACGGACAGACAGTCACCCGTATTTCAACTCGTCTCTTAAATCTGTTCATTAATATGGTATGTATATAACTCTATATCTATCTCGTTTAGTTCTAAGTGATACAAACAGCTGTTAGGTGATAAAAATTATTATACTCTGTAGCAATAAATCCCCAAATCTTGAGAAGATTGAGATCTGGGATAGTGCTTGCATTTATATATATAAACTCATCAATATGGTTTTGTTGGAAATTGTTTTTCAATGTAAATGACGAAGATTTCTTTAAGATTTCCAGAATAAGTGTGAAGCACCAACAAAGTGTTGAAAATTATTATATAATATAATTCCCCGAACACACATGTCAGTTATAAGTTCGCTTGAACGATTGAAGATTGAAGTGCTAGATTTGTTTGTATGAATACGCCTACGTCATTTCTGTGATTTCTTGATGCCATGTGTATGCGTTGAGTAATCTGCTTGCGAGCGCGATCCAAGTGTAACCGCATTGTAGGGTTGTTCTGAAAAAGGGTGTGTATCTTTCCAATCGGTGCTGCCACGTTCCGAAGATTTGGAAGATTACCCAAAACGTTGATAAATTAATGTGGACCCCATCAATGGTTTAAAGCAAAAGCAGAGATTGGAACGTTGCCACCAATTTAAAACGCCTAAGTTAAGGAATTGTTGAGATGAAGCACACAATATAGATATCAAACTGAAAATGTTGCAAAAAGCATCCAGTAGAAGATATTTATGAAAGAAGCTCCGAATCAAAAAATATCATAAATAAAAAATATTGAATTTTACCCAACATTTTTATCGTTTTTGGCCAACCAAATTCGATTTTTGATCAGATCACTGGTAGGTAGGTCAGGTTGATAGTGATCGAATATTTTGTCTCCGAGTAATCTCTGCGTCATATTCGAAAAGTGTAGTTTCGGGAAAAACGCGTTTAAGAATAAACTGATGGAGCAGATTAAACTGATTAAACTAAGCGGCTACACTTTAGAAGCTTGTAACTCAAAAACTATTTGAGCTATCGATTTTAAATTTTAGTTTATTATATTTGACGATATATGCAAAACATAAGAAAATATTTTTTAAAAGTATTGCCACCAGTAGCTCAATTAAATTTATAAAAGAAATGAAATATTAAAATATGGAAAATTAAGAAAAAAATTCATAGCAGCCACGTTTTTGAAAAATTACACCAAACAAATTGATAAAGTAAGCTCAATATTATAAAATTGGTATTAAATAAAAAAAAGTACTTGAGAAATATTTTATGTGGGTAGAATTATTCAGGTGAGCTTTATTAGCCCCTATATGACAGGTCGTACGGCCCCACAATTTATTTGTGATATCGTCGACGATATGTATACAATTTCTTCAAATATTTAAGGATAGCCCTAAGTTAAAGACATACGCGTGCACACTTATAAGCATATATTTGCAGTTTGCAACTAATAATTTGAAGCTCATTACGATTCAAGGTTAGGCATTTATCAGAGATGCTGACAGCAGCAGCAAGAACAACAGCAAAGAAAATAAAAAAAGAAGCTTGACAGCTCATAAAAATACCAAACAAAAGCAGCGCAAAGTAATTAGACAGAAAAAGCGTTAACTCAAAAGCTGAAAGACACAATGCGCCAACAGTTGATGCAGCAACTTTTTGTTGAAATTATTTGTATATACATACATACATGCTTGCATATATATATTGTATGTATGTACATTTATTTATTTCTCCACAGCTTGCATCATTCTAATTTTAATGCCTACCAATATTCATTTGCTGCCTATAAATTTATTTTACTTTCCGAATTGCATACTATACTATACAAACTATAATTTTAGACGAAAACTAAACAAATTCTAGTGTAATTATCAGACAGTTGAAATATGGACGCTGCTAAAGCTAGTTTGCTGTTTAAAGGCTTGACGCCATGCTTGTTGGCTGCGCTATATAAGTATATCAAAATGTATTAGACGTTAGAAAATATTGTAATATCCATAAAAAGCGGATTTTAAGCATTGAAATTAATTTTGGCCTCTGCTAGTGAGGAAGAGCGCTAAATAGCTCGTACTCGTAGCTTATAATCTTAAAATAGACGACAAAGCGAAGAACCGGTTCAACAGTAAAATTCTTAATTTTTTTTGGTAATATAATTTATCTTGCTTAGAAACCAACCTAAGCTGACACATGTAGGCACTTACAGTATGCAGTCATTAAAATAGAAGTGAGTTGAAATAATAAACTCGTAAATACTGCTGTCTAGGTAAATCTTTTCAGATTAAAATCGGCTACGGCTTCTAGTTTTGAGGGCTATTTGATAAAATAGAACTTTATTTTATCGAAAAAAAAATGTTTCAACATGCATAGTATCCTTTGAGAATTCAACACAGTCTTTCCTAGCCAATAGCCGGTAATTTCTGAATTCACTGTAGGCTATTTCCGTTTATTTTCTGGTTATTCCTTTATATTACTCAGTGATCTCAAAATGGACATTCATTTTATTGTATCTTCCTACATCCACTGAGCAAAAAGTTGAATATTCCAACTAAAACTACAGATATCTAATTTTTTGATCTGGATGCTCTACATACATATGTATATAAATTCTATTAACCCATTTTAAGCGACGATTATATATCCCGTAAATCACATTGTAGGAAATTTCGTGAAAAAACTGCTACAACAGCTATCTTAAGCAGCTTCAGAAGCATACATTCTGGAAGCAGTCTCAAAAAAATATTTTCCGTAGAATAAAAATGGAGGAAGGATGGAGGCGGTTTTAATAAAAAATATAGGTTTAAAGTCCTATGGAAGGTAATCGTAATTTTCATCATGAGCTTTCGCAATTTTCACCAAGTGGATAAATCCGATCGACTCTAACTATACCAAGCCGTTATAATGACTGAGAAAATAAATTTAAAAAATACTGTTACTACTAGTATGACCACAACTGTAAATAAATACTTAAAGTAAATACCTACTAAGAAACCTACCTAGCAGGCTGTGGCGTCAATTTAACATTTATTCTATTTTCTATTGTTGACTCTACAAGTTTTGAAGTCATCTCGCTCCCGCTTCGTAGCTGAATTTGTTTTTAATTAGGTGGCCTAGGTATCCTACTTAATCTTCTGTCTAAACCAACTGACCAAACCGTTAAACAAAGTAATCAATTTTACTAGTTTAAATGAAATTCAAACCCAATAACAGTTGCTCATTTTAAATCAAACATGTACGAGTATAATGAATAGGGGTTCTCAATTGGGGCAAACTGAGGTTTCTATAATTGTTCTCTAGAGTAAATGCTGGATTTATGAGACCTTTCGTCGATTGTCTCTTGTTCCCTCCCAAGGCTTCAGATCTACGGAACAGACCCTTATTTACTTAAAACCAAGAAGTTTCCGGAAATCGTAAATGAAACGAAAAATGTTTAATCTTCATCAATATATATTTTGTCACCTTCAAAATATGCTCCTTCTGAAGCGATACACATATGCCACCTCTTTTTCCAATCATCGAAACATGCCTTGTAGGTCTGGGTACGGAATCGCCTTCAGTTCCCTCTGCGAATTTTCTTTTACGGCCTCAATCGAGTCGAAACGGGTTCCACGGAGTGGATTCAAATAGAGTGGTTGATCGATGGTATTGAACGAGGTTTTGGTCTTAAAATCGTTCATTATACTCTGTAACAACATTTTGTACCATGAAACCAGATAGTTTCCGGAAATTGTTTTTTTCGATATTCGCGGTTTGTTTTATCATGAATTCGTTCCAACGGGACAGATGGTCAATAAAGAGTTTTATTTGAACGTTTTTAAGCGTTTTCTCGAAAATATTCGTAGTAAACGGCCGGAATTGTGGGCCAACAAACTTTCTGGTCATAATGTATATACATATGTACGGTCAAGAACTGTTAGCTCGGCAGTATTCTAAAACACTATCAGACGAAGAATGCAAAATTTATTCGCTCAATTCGATAGATAATCAAAGGATTTCTAAGTATGGACACCCAAAGATCATATTAGTTATCCAAAAGTCGATGCCTGTTTTCGACAAAAGTTATTGTTCAACAAGAACCGTAAGATAACCGACTTTCTATCATTGATATGGACCTACTTCTCCAGCAACAATAGAAAGTTATTTTGCACTTCAAACCAAACTGATGAAGTGTTTTGATTCCAAATTAAGGGCCTCATTTACTGCATGTATTAACGCTACTTTACTTACTGAAGTACCCTTTATTTCAATCAGTACAATGAATATGTGTAGCGGATCGTCTACCTTCCCATGCAAAACTCAAACCAAACTAATAACGAGTATTTAAATTTTTATTTAGTTTGTTTTCGTCTATCTATTTACAAATATAATAAATGTTCAACGAATAATCAACTTGCTTGCCATACTCAACTTTAAAGTTTAAAACACAACTTGTAAATTACTGCTGCTGAGCTGTACCCTGTTGGCTCCGATGTAGCTAACCCCTTTTTGTATTTCCAAGTTTACCTGTAATTGAGGATACCTTTCAAATAAATACAATCAGAATCATAAGCACGGGACCTTTGTGAGATCGAGTTTGTGAGTATCACCAGAACTTCATTTAAATATTGCATTACAGCTGTATTGAAAATAAAACAAATTTACTACTTTCTACCTGTAGACGAGTACTGTCAAAATCAAAATCGAACTCGTAGTTTTGTATTAACAATGTGAACCTGAGCGACTTCGGGGATTTCATCCAATCGATCCGTGATAAAGTTCTTGTTTTTGGAATGCAAATCGTGCAGTGGAATCAAAGGGGCCTTGGATGCTTTATAAGGGGACTCTTGTCCTTAGATGGCGACCGTCAGATATATGTATTGGTTTAATTAGTTGCACACATCACTTCCACGCGCGTTTCCTTGGAAACGGCTACCACGGAGGACACGTGACAAAAATTCAAAACCTCGATTGAAAGACGGCCGAATGAAGATGTGCCAGATAACTAACGCATTGTGTGGGCATCACAAAAGATGGCTTGGGTTATACCTGGCATCAAATATTGGGTTTGAGAAAGATGTCGGCACAACGGATGTCGCTTTTGCTTAGTACGGATAACAAACGCAATCGTGGCACCCCTTTATTGCAATGTTTGACGCTATTTAAGTGCATTCCAAAAGAGTTTCTACGTCTTCTTCATAACCATCGCCGACATGGATTTTTTGGAAAACGTTTTTTTTTTAGAAGGGTTACACAAGTTGGAGTATTGCTTGGTCAACAGAATCGAGCTAAAAGAAGACTATTTTAAGAAATAAATAGCCATTTTCGCACAATTTCTCTTTTTCTTTTATATGATAAGTAACAGAGTTTTCCAAACCGCATGAGGTATGAGAAATAAAAACGTACACACACAACATTTTTCACATTCCAAATTGCTTTTCCTCGCAATTTTCAAATATATTATATTATAATTATAAAGACGACCTGTATCAATTGAATAATTTTGAATAAAAAAATGTTTTCTCTTTAGTTACTTTTATTGGACTCTATACAACTTACTTGGACTATTTGTTAAATTCAATATTAATCAAGCGACTTTTGCTGGGATGATTTTAGCCTTTGCTAATACCTCCATAACAAGAAATTAGTGCGTGTCGAATCGGGAGGTCTAAGGAGCCAGTCAATGTCATTTTTTTTTTGAACTTAGACATTCATAAAAATTCTATGTAATAAGTGAATACCTTGATTCGCGTGCTCCAATGATTATTTTACGGAAAACGCGAACGCACTCAGTGTTTACCATACATTCGCCTTTCATGGATGATCAATTGAGCAGTACGATATAAAAACGATCCTTGGATTTTAAGAGACAAATCTAATATGTTCTTTCGAAGTTTTTAGACATATTTCGATAGTTTATACCTTTAAAAATAACATAATACAATTAAAATTGAATGAATATGCCTAATTACTACCTTTTGTATAAGTTTCTTTGTACTACAATTGCCCACCCGTTTTTCGATTGTATGGCAAATGTAATTTTAGTGGGCTCAAAATCTTCTCACTTTAGATCAAAATTCGTCATTTATTTATAAAGTCAAGCACTTTGTTAATTTTTTTTATTGTTGTAAAAGTGTCTATAACGTAATTATTCTAAAAATTGCTGCATCAGTTTTAGTTGAGAGTGTTTAGTTGGTGCAACCAGGGCACTAGTGAAACCAAGATTAAAGCTATGAGTCATTACATCTACAAATATAGTTCTTAGTAATTTTAGTTTTAGCGAAAAATGACACACTCATATTTCGAGATTTTTTCTGAAATATAAATCTACATACATATGTATATGTTTTTAAAATAACTTGTTCCTTTGAAGGAATGAAATGAAAAGAATGTGAAAATCAGTAATCGAACAGCTTAACCACAACTGAAAATATGTGCAGTTGTTTTCAATATTCCTTCAGGTAATTACTTTAATACTTTATTTTATTTAAATAATTAATTTTAATTTTTAGAATGAATAGAGATTGATATTGAAAAAATTATTCCTTAACAAATAAAGTAGATATAATACTATAGCCTATAATCGAAGTAAGACTAAGTGACTGGAAAGTAATGATATTTGTTTTTTTCTCCAAATATAAGTTTCTCAATTTCACATCGGATTTAGCATATCATATACGAAATGACTTTAAATATTTATCGTAATATGACCATTTTTATACCCTGAACAGGTACTATGAAGTTTGTAACACTCAGAAGGAAACGTCGGAGACCATATAAAGTGTATACATATATAAATGATCAGCGTGACGAGCTGAGTTAATTTAGCCATGTCCGTCTATGTGTATACCATATATGCGAAATAGTCCCTTAGTATTTGAGATATCACTCTGAAATAGACTCTCCCTGTTAATTTGTCGGAATCGCCGATATATGAATTCTATAGCAAACAGCTGCCACATAAACTGAACGATCAGAGTCAAGTTTTTGTAAGAATAACTTTTTTTTGACAATATATCTTCACGAAATTAGGCACGACTTATTTTTCAAAGCAACGGTATAATCTCCGAAGAAATTGTTCGGATGGGACCACTATATCAAATGCCATACAAACTGATCTGTACGGGATATTATAGCTTCGTTACAGTCGGAGTTCACGTTTTTTCTTGTTCACAATATAAATATATAAACGTTTATACATATGTACATATATTAAACAGACAATGATTTAAACATGTTAACATGTTACAAAAAACAGGGGTTAGACCACGTTTGCTTGACTAATTGTAAAACTTAACCCTTGTGAGATAGGCTGAGACCATTAATAACAAAAAAAAAGCTATAGTTATTAAAAACATATTGAAATTTTTTTTTAAAGACTGGCTCAAGAGCTCAAAACCTAAAACTATTGTTGAAACGTTTGTTGTTGTAACGTTTATATATTTTTGGATGATAAGTAATAGTTTGGTTGTTGTCGAGGTCATCTAACGGGAGGTCCAAGAAACAAGCTGTTTCGACGGGGTCGGACCATAGGAAAAACGTTGTTAGATGAGTTGGGTTTATTAGGCATGCAAAGAGGCGGTTAGTATCATGCGGGGACTCATTGCACGCAGGGCATATGTTTGGAATGTCGGGGTCTATTCTGGATAAGTAGGAGTTTAACCTGCTACAATATCCAGAACGCGAGGTTCATTCTGGTTTCGGGAGGCAACTCGAGCTCTATGTATGCTATGGGTGGTGGTTTGAATCCTAGTACGCCATTGACTGAGAGGGAGTCGATGAAGATGTTGATGGCTCCGTTGCGTCCAAAGTCCAGTAGGCTTACTGTCTGATGTCGACGACGTAATCAAGGAAGCCCCTCTTGTTGCTCCCAAGAGGCGGTTCCGCTTCAATCAGACGACTGCAGGGGTGATTTCTGCGAAAACTGCTTGGAGAGGAGCTCGTTATATTCCGAAAGCATAAGAGCCTCTCTGTGCAAGTCTCGTCACCATCTTTGACCTAACATTTACTAAAATATTTACCTAATCATATTATAAAATAATCGAAAAAAAATTAGGGAGCGTTCGAGCTACGTCCAGAAGCATAACTTGTCAATCCTTAATTGATTTAATTAAAATTCGAATAGCATTTTCGGTAAATGTATAGTTTAGATCCCTCAACTAAGGAGGCCTCAAAAATAATTTTTTTTTAAATCGTCTTATTTTTACGAGTAGATTACAAATCCGTGAACGGAAAGTGAATTTTTTCAACAAAAAAAAATAAATAAAAACGTTTTTTTATTTTTTTTATAAAAATGCATTAAAAATGAAAATTTTGAAACATTGAAATTAATTGTTTTATTTTTTTCTTTGAAAAAATCACATATTGTTATACATAGACCGCCAGTGCGAAAAGGAGTTCGACGATCTCCGATATCCGTCCATACCATCAGATCACGGCACAAAAGAAATTGTGACTTACATTTCTTCAGTATATTTTTTTCATAAGAAAATGTTTAACACGTTGAACTGGTAATTACAGCTAAGTGATCTGAATTCTACAGAATTTTGCCGCTACAACAACAACTAAGTAAATTGAATATGTGATATGTGCAAAGTGTGTTAAATAAATTTTGAAAAATATACATAAATTATTGAAAAAATTCACTTTCCGCTCACGGATTTGTAATCTACGCGTAAAAATAGGACGATTAAAAAAAAAATCATTTTTGAGTCCTCCTTAGTTGGGGGACCTAAACTTTACATTTACCGCATTTTTCAAACCAGTTTAACTAGAGATATTTATTTCATTAAAATTTAGTTAAAACATATGAATGAATTTATGATTAATTATAATGAATTATGAATATACGAAATGAATTTGGAATTAAAAAGTTCTAGTTAGTAAGTGTCAATGTTTTATTAAATATTTAAGTGTATATATTTTTTCGTTAGATACGATATTGAATTTTTAGAGTTTTCTTAAGTATCATGATACTTTATTCATTCGAATTTATTACTTATTCAAATTTCCAATTAGATTGATCCAATAAGATTCATATTTAGCGTATTTCCAATTATATCATTATTCTAATTGGATAATCCCTTGTCAATGGCCTCATTTGTATAGTATTTATCTTGTATACACCATACAAGTGTTCACGTGTGACCTTCTCATGAGGAAATGACAAATGCTTCAAAGCAGCAGCTGCAACTACATAGGCGGTAGCAGCAAAAAATCAACCACCCCAAACAAAATTAGAACGCGCAGTTGGATAACTGGTTATTTGTTAATGCCAACTCAGTCATATATCCTGTATCAATAATTAGTGCGCATCTTGAGTGAGTAAATTCCTATATTCTTGTTGGCGCGCACTTTTGATTTTTTTTTTTTACAAATGTTGAATTTTTGAAATTATATGTTTCGGATATGTTGATACGCCCGCAATTTCTATAGGAGAGAGAAAAAGACTGACTGGTTGTAAAAGTTTTTCAAATAACAGCAAGTCCCTATCTCGCTCCCACATAGGTTGCAGAACGTTTACTCCGAAAACATACATTTAATTTTCATTTATTTTGCTGTGTCATCACACTTCACTGAAATAAATTATTTCTTTCTGATTAAATTAGTTGAGCGCCGTACGAACACTTCTAGTTGCTAGTATTGTAGCGCTTTGTAGCCACGTCGTCGTCTTTGAAAATGTAGCACCATTTCAAATTAGAAACCATCACGTACCACTACTGGGGAGCTAAAACAGTGTGTGTGCGCCCCAAATCAAACGACTCCACTGTGCAGCTGGCAAATGACGTTTGAAACGACGAAATGTGGACATGAGATGGAAAACCGAACGAACCAACGAACCGAACCCAACCAATGGACAAACAAATGCGCGCGCGTTTTGTAGACGAATGCTCTGTGCTCTTGATGAGAGCGATTGCGTGTGTGAATGTATTCGTACACGACGCTGTTAAGAGAAACGCGCGCAAAACAAAGTCGGTTCGGCTGCAGTAGCGCGCTGACTCGACGACAAAGTTAGCACATTTTAAATGAATCAATATGTAGCTCTTTTTCCTGACATGAGGAAAGGAAATTAAAATATACTTATAAAATATAAACAAGGAAAAATTTACGTTGGCATTTGGGTCTAGTTTTTTGTAATAAGTATTTTTTCTTTTCCTTTTTTTTAAATAAATAAAAAAATATTTACTAAAAACCTCGACTTAATTGCAAATAATTTGGTATAAAAATTAGATATTTGAATTGAAATCAATCGAAATTTTCTTATTATCTTCTACGTGTAGACACAGTAAAACATCTACATTACAACCTATTACCATAGCTAGCCTTTTTAATTTTAATAAAAATTAAATTAAAGCTTATTTTAAATCCTGCATGCCAAAATAAAAAAGCATGTTTTTCTTCCTACTCTACTGTACTACACGAGTTCTCTCGGCGGGTGAAATAGGCGGAAGCCACGCACTACCGCTGTCGCCATTTGAGTACGCAGCGCAGATTGCGTAATCATGAGTTCTTACAAAAGCTCAACAGAAAAAAAAAAAACAAAATGTGTCATCATTTTCATCACTTCCTTCTTATACGCCTCTTCGTTGTTGCTTTGCATTTCAACGTGGTACGCCTCGTTTCTTCAATTATTACGTCTTGGCGAAAATTTATTAGCTCTGTAAGCACTTATACTTTTAGCGAAAATGTGCTTTTCATTATCTGGCACTTGAATTATAAATTTTTATGTAATCATAGTGAGTCACCAGCATATTTAATAGAAAAAAATTATATTAATTTTAGTGGAAATATGTTCAATTGCATTTTTTTTAATAATAAAATCCATAAATGTCCTTTGATGTATGTCTTTTATATTATAATTGATTTTATGATTTTTGTCCTCGTTTCTGCCTGTCCAGCAACTCCTTGAGATTACACACACGCACGTGATGTTTTATTGTACCAACAGCAAATTTTTTAATGATTATTATTTAATATGTTTAATTTCTTTTAATGCCAAAAGTTATTTTTTCTTCATTCAAAATAACACGTTGATCTTTTTTTTTTTACTCAGCTTAGTCAAAGTTCAAAATTAGCCCAATTGGACTGCCAACAAGGCGCGCATAGTAGTAGTAGTAGCAGCAGCAGCAACGACGACGAACGACATCATTTGCTACTTTCAATTAGTTCACATTCATATATTTTTTTCTCTATTCACACATTTTATATATTATATATTTTTCCCTTCAAGCACAGCAATTTTAAGCGTTCGACGTAAAAACACGAACCGTACACAACCACGAACAACGAACGAATGAATTGTGAAACAGAAAAAGGCGACAGAAATGCGTTGTTCCAAAAAATCAACCTCCGCTTCAAACGACTGACCGACCAGGCCACACGACCGACGTCAACATCGCTGCCCGAACACGTCGTGTTCAACAATAGCACTGTGCCAACAGGGGTAATGTTGACGACGACTTGTAACGTTAAGGCGACACGCTCTCAGCACGGTGCTACTTTGCTTGTATTGTGCGCTGCACAAGTGTTGGGGAAATTTAATGTTGTTGTTGTTTACATACTTAGCAGTTACGGTTTTACATCATAAGCTCTCTAGCGTTTTTTTATTACTCCAGGCGAGTTGCGCAGCGCAGGGGGCAATGTAACGCAAACTTTGGCAGCGTCATTGGTGTTAATTCTGCTAACGCTGGAGAGCGTGCTTGGGCGAGAGTTTGCCTGCTTTGCTTATCTTTTTTATGTTCTTATGTAAGTAAATGTAGGGAAAAGCTTTTGTGACCATAATTTTCGGTTGCTATGTGTGCAATGGTTTTTAGGCGCCGAAAGGGTAAAGGAGGTAAAGCACAAAGCGCAAAATGCGCGCTCCATTGCTAATTACTCAATATGCTGTTGTGCAGACTGGGGAAATATCTATGTATATGAGCAAGTATATAGAAACTTTGAATTTGAGAGAGCTTTCAGTAATTATTTCTACAAACGTTTTTGTTTGTATGTATTTTCATTTGTAGTTTCAAACGCTTGTAGTTCAACCAGAGAACGTAAATGGATTCTAAGTTCTCTGGTTCAACAGTTAGTAATACTCGCAATATGCTTGCTTGCAACTTTGTTTGCCATGCCTTCATGTGCTCGTTCTTAATTTTGAGCGCGCTCTCATATTCATATATATTTATGTATATAAAATAAAAAGAGAGCCCGACAAGGTGGAGAAAGCTTTTTGCTGCCACGAGCAACAACAGCAGCAGCAGTGGAGACAACTTTGGTTGCCTTGCAAATCGATGAGTATACAAACAAGAAATTATATACAGACACGTTTATATATAAAAGCAAATATATATTAAATATAAGTACTTCTCAAATATATATGAATATATATATATCGTAATGTGCCCATAAACAAGTTGAGCAAGTTTGTCGTTGACACACATTTTCTACTGTTGCCTGCTCCCTGCCGTTTTGTTGCTCGTGCCGCTGCTTTCGCCGCCGTCGTCGTCATTGCTTTGCCGCCACTACACAACCGCTACGTTGTAGCACGAAAAGTGGCTGGCTGCAAAGCGTTGTGGAGCAGTGGGGCACTTGGCCCATGTTGGTGTTATGCGCGTGTATGCATACTTTAATATAACATATATACACATATACATTTTATCTCTAAGTACATACATATGTATGTATGTAAGTTTGTATCTATATGCGGATATGTGAGACTGGTTTGGTTTGCTACAACTTTTTCTTGCCTGCTCGCTGTGTTGTGCTGTGCTTTGGCATCCGCAGCATAGTGGCACACTGTGTTAGCTTTTGGGGCGTTCATTTCAGTTTGTTAAGGAAATTTCCACTACTCTCTATTCCAACGGTGTTGTCATCGTTGTTATTTTGTTGTATTTATTTTTGTTTTTATTGCTTTTCTGCTTTGCAGTCAATACGGAAATTACAATATGTTTTCGCTCTGGAAAAAATTTATGTATGTGCATATGTACATAAGTATATGTACAACAAAATTGTTGGCAAATAACATTTTCTCGGCGAAGGAAATTGATTAATTTGTTTTCGATTTTCAATTTAACTTTACTAACTTTATGTACATACATAGTATGTATAAATGCATATATGTATGTATGTATGTAAATATGGCAACAATCTCGGTAATTAAGTCAGCAAAAGTTGTAACGAAAGAGTTTTCACTCAAAATTTCGACTCAATTTGTGATTGACTCAATTAAGAGCGTGTCTGAAATTGATTACTCTGAGTTATTACGATACGAGTTAGTTGTCCGAATTTACATGAACACTAGTTTTAAAATATATATGTACATACATATACCTATATTTATTAAATACATATTTCTATACAAACAGTTTGTATACATATTTTGGAGTTTATGAGTTTCTCTTTAGAAAAATTTTAACTTTTGTAAAAAACACTAAAAATCAGAAGAACAGAGAACAGCGCTTAAACCATTTTAGTATGGTATCCACATTCCACCTTGTATTGGATTTCATTGAAATTTGTTTTTTGCTTATACATATAAAATTTTGAACAAGAAAGCTGAGTTCATGCATAGATAGTGAAGAAGACTCCAAATAAAAACGGTTATCTTTATAAGCAGTAGTATAATTAGGAGTTATTTTCTCTAATATTTATATGTCTTTCTTTTCAGTTCCTTTTGTCTTCTGCTCTGAACAAACTACCAAATGATCAAAATATTATTTAGAAACTTTAAATATCATCAGATTTTTATGCAGAACTGCAGCAAATGTGATTAATTATTTTTTGTTAAAACGTAAACCCAGCGCATTTAAGAAAACTTCAATTATTATATTACAAGTAAAAAGAGTCTAAAATATTTCCATTATTTTCCAATACCTCCCATATGCTAAATGTTCTTCACTCACTATCGCTTTAACTTTTCCATATTAATTCGAGGAACTGAAATTAATAGAGAGTAATTTATAATTAACATTTGCTTTTTTTTATTATGTATGTGTATAATAATAGGAAAGTGAGGATATCAAACAACTTCCAAACCTTTCAAAAATTAAATATTGTACATATGTATGTATGTAATATTAAAACATATTTCTGATAAAAACATTTTTAAAATGCTGAAAACTCTTTTTATACCAAGAGACAACAAGAAATTTTTAAAAAGCAGAATTTCGCAATCGTAAAATTCTTTATAAAAGAGAAAATTATTAATGCACACAAATTAAAAAAAAAATAAATTCATAGATTAACTTTAATAAATTTTTAATTTTGAAATCTCATACATATACATATACTTACGCAGACATAGTATATGGAGCACCTCTTTTCTTGCTAAATCAATATTTATGTATGTGTGCATATGTATGCATATGTACATATGTATATTCTTCCAATTGCACTGCTATGCATGCCACAACAACATCTGATTAGATTGCTAAAAATCATCTGATCTGTACACTCATTCCCAGCCCCATCTGGTTACAAAGTAGCACAGTGGGTTAAATACTCAATTGAAACACATACTTGTACATACCAACAAACACACACACTCGTATCAATAGCGAGCGCATCGGAGAAGCAGCGTTGGCAGCAACTCAACAGCTGTAAAATGACATGCTAGAAAATACGGTAAGTAGAGCAAGCAGAAGAATTACAACAATGCGGGAAAAATACAATACCTACATATATGTATGCTAGTATGTATGTATTTATTGCATTATATGAGCGCATAGATTAGTATGTCGGTGATGCATTCACGCGCAGTGTGTCACAATGCAACCAGCAAAAGCGTTGTTGTTTTTGCGGCAAGTGCCTGCGAATGTGTTGCAGCTAAAAGTGGGCCATGCACAGGTTGTTTCAACATGGGAGAACGAATTGGTTGAATGTGCAACACTGGAAGTGGGACAAAATAGCTATGGTGAGTACCTTATAGGAAAATTGAGGAAAGTAGAACGGTTTAACGGCGTTAAGGAATTGAATATATAATCCATAGTATAAGATAGTGGACTTTTGGGTACCGCATGTTGTTTGAATCATACTGGAATTATGATATAGATAAAATAAGATTCTGTTAAATAATTTTGAATAGATTATTTTGTTTTTGCCGAAGTTAATACTTTTTCTGAACTTTTAAGGGATTATATTCACTTGCAGGTATTTTATTTTTTGATTTATTTTTAATTTTAGCAATAAAAATAATGTACATTTACAGAATTTAATGTACCGTAATCGATATCCAGAAAGACCTCCGAAAAAAGTTGACAGACGGTGAGGAAGATTCGTGTGCCTACAATTATCTCAAATCCAAAAAAATGTATTATTACAATAGATGAACACAGGTAATAAATTAAGAACTAGTCCAAGTTTTTTTTTTGTGGCTTCCCAAAAAAATAGTTTTTTGTGAAAAAATTGCACTTCAAAGAGGCTTATAAAATCGAAATTATAATCAAAAATCTCATTCCTTCGAACTTTTTATTTATTTATTTCATTTATTTTTTTTATTATATTTGGTTACAACCATTCCTACAGGCCATAAATTCACTATATATGCATTTCAACTCATACGAGCTCTCAATAAAGCAATATGTATGTACGATATAGGTATACATGACTTGAACCACTGCCACTTTATTGAGGCCAAACAAGGGAATAGAAAATGCAGCATCAGCATTGGCCGAACAAAGAGTAAAGAGGACGACAGGCTAAGAACTCGTTTCTACTTCTATTTATGCGTGCATAAGCAATTTGTATTGGTACCGAACACAAGTTGCAACAAATAGGAAACATATAAGAAAGTAACAGCAAAAACAATTATGTAGCTGATGGCTACGGCATACAAGCAGCAAGTGAACTGGCAAATGTACATATGTATTTAGGTATGTATGCATTCATAATATATTACACCCCAATAAATGTAACAATTCAATGCATTATCTTATTTTCTACATAGGTAACTGGGTTATCAACGCAATTTGTTGCAGAATAAATCATACAACAATATTGGTGTGTATAAATGTTGTCAAACACCTTCACAGGACATATTGTTAAGCCGCAGAAAATTGCTTAGACAGCATGGCTGAGCAGAGACGGGGTGACAAGTTTTTTTCGTTATTGTTTTTACACTCGCTGTCCTACAACGTTTCGCGTACAAAACGATTAATAGACAAATTTTTGTTTGTTTCAATGACCAATAACTAGTCGTTGTTATTGCTGTTGTGCTTAAAGATTAGTGCCTAATATAATATATCAAAGGCTTTGCAGCGCCGCTTGGGGTAGAGTGCAGTAGCTGCGAAAGATAATGCTGTCAACAATCCGACACTAACCAAAAATTGTTTTAATAAGCAGCAGAATTGCATTAACTTGTGCCTTAATATCTGTTGCATGCCTCATTACGCCTTCTGCCTGTAGGACAGCAACGCTGTTGTATTTTTTGTTTCCCCTTCATACTCATTAATCGCGAGTGTTGCGAATTTGAGTAAAACCAATTAAGGTCGCGAAATTATTGGAAAATTGTGTGAAATAATTTGTTTAAAATTGGCTTAACAGGACAATAATAGTAGTTTAAGGGAAATAGTTATGCAATTGAAGGAAAAGTGTAATTTATATATATATATTATATGGAAGTTGAAAGGAGAAGGCAAACAAGTAGAGTTGAAGGAAATTGCTACTAATTTGTACTAGAAATTTACTATTATTTCTTCATGAACATTAGTATCAATTATTTGTTGCAAAAATGCCGGATTAATTTTCTCAATACAATTAGTAATTTTAAATGCAAATATTATAGAAATTTGGTGGTTCACAAAGGTTAAGCCTCAAGGTCAAATGCTGTCAGAGGACATTTTTTGCTGCACCTATATAAATGAGTGGGCATACATACATACATATGAGTACGTCCACATATATTTATTACTTATGGATGTGTGGTACATATAAAAATTACATACGTACGGATGTGTAAATAGTGGAATTTATGGAATACATGTAAGGAATTGTCGAATTTAAAGTGCAATGTGTTTTTACGAAGAAAAAAATTCAAAGTTATAATAAGAAAGTGAAGTGCGAAAAATTGTTTAGCAGTTCATTTATATGTGGAGATTAATAAAGAATTGAGAACAAAGTTCGGTTACACCCTCCAAAAATCCTTTTCTTAGTGCTCAAGATTGCTTGCACGGCAGCTATATGATATAGTGGTCCGATCTGAACAATTTGTTAGGAGATTATAGCGTTGCCTTAGACAATAATCCGTGGCAATTATTTTGATGATATCTTGTCCAATAAAAAAGTTTTCCAAACAAGAATTATTTTGATCGTTCATTTCATAGGTCGCGGTGCATACCTCTATCCATATCTATGACAGCTATAAGCTATAGTGGTTCGATTAAGGCGGTTTCGTACGGTTTTATGTACATTCAAGTATGTTCATAAGTGAAATGTTACAATTTTTTTACGCATTTCATTTGTATATGGATCTAAATAAATAATAAAAAAAAACAGTTGTGCAGCAGCAACAATTTTGCTTAAGATAAGCAAATTTTTATTAAATTAATTTTTCGATGAATATGTACATATGTACTTAAGTACAGATTGGATGGGCAATTTTGTGGCACTACTACATCTTCAAGAACGATCAAGAAATAGTGTAAGGAACTACAAGGTGAGTACTTACGCATGTAGTAAATATAATTTAAAATCTATTTGGAAGTGTGATGTGACAGCATTTGCAAGTAGTGGAGAGATGTTTTACATATTTCATACATTGTGTAGAACTTTTAATATTTTTACTGTCTCTCTCCAACATTTCTTCACCAAAAATCACTAGTAAACACTTACCATTAGCTTCGTCTTGCCAATATAGTTATTGTTTATTCGAATAATGAAACAGCAACATAGGCTGTCATTGCTGCGCAGACAGGGCTAATTGTAGGAGCTACGAAAAGCATTAATGGCAATGATCTGCCAGAAATCAATATATCTAAAATGGCAAAAAGCATTCTACTTATAGTATCCGGGTACGTACCTACATAGTAGTTATGGTACTCCACCATTGCATAGATGGAGAGCGTTGCATTTGTTTTTATTAGGCTTCTTAATAGTTGTTGCAATTGCTAAAATATTTATGACTCAGCCTTAATATATGTATGTATGTCACGCCTACTTACTACCCCTTCTGCTTGTACGTCAGCAGCGCTGTTGGCTTGTTCCCGCTTCTTATAAACACTATATTAATGTGTGTGGTTGTGTGCTGGTAGCAAACGAGGAGGCGTTGCAGGGCAGGCAAAAGCAGCTGCAGTAGCGAAAATAAACGTCTCTGCCAACGAACTGGCCATATTGCGTGCATCCTTGTGGTAGTTACCCCGCCTTCGCATTAAAAAGGTTTGTTGTGGTCAAAGCAAATTTCAATTTCAAATATTTTCTGCTTAATTACCCCTTCTATTTGTAAGTGTGTTTTTTGTAAGAACACCTCGTACTTCAAATTTCGCACTTCTTATTAATGCACCACTGATCTCGCACGAGACGTTATTTCCCTATATTACTAATGTTTAAGCAGAAAGTGAAGTTCTGATCATCTTTTGCAGATTATTTTAGATGATGCTAGCCTAAAAAAAATAAAAAAGATATGTTCTGCCAAAGAATTTGTTAATAGTAGAAAAACTAAGCTGACGGATCTTGCGGGATCTATTAGACAAGCCTTAATTAAAGGAAAAATAATTTATGCGAAAAATTTAAATGAAAATTGGACTGAAGTGTTTAGGTTTATTATTTTTATCTTTTACAAAAAATTTGTGAGACCAAATGTCCCAAATGCACTGCATTTTTTTGATTTGAAATATTTATTTTTTCACCTTATTGCGACCTAACATCCAAAGAGGACTCTAATTTATAATCGATAATTCGCATGTCAAAAAATCAGTTTTTTTCTAAAAAGTCGGTATGCTTTTTCTTCGTAGAATTCTCCAATTTCTGATAGTATAGGAAATGTATTAAAAAAGTGTCCACTAAACAATTGAAACCTCATTATTTTTATACTTTTTCAACATATAACCACAGAGTATAATAGTGTTGTTCACCTAATGATCAAATTTTGAAAAAATGGGCGTGGCCCCATCCTCTAATAGGTTTAAAGGATCCTTAAGCCCCCCTACCAAAGATATAAAAATAAATGAAATCGGATGATAACCCTGCCACCTCCCCATATAACGGTTCTATTCAAAACTATTTAAAGTGCGATAAATCAATAAGTAAATTATATGTCAGGAACATCAAATTGTACTCGACTAATTTCAATGAAATGCAGTGCATAACATCATATTGACGATTCTATGCATTCTGAGAATGGGCGCAATCCGACTACAACCACACCTACCTACCATATAGCACAATTTTAAATTCCATATGATTCGTACACTTTCCAATGAATATATTCAGATGAAACTTAGCACAAATAGTGCTTTTGAGGTATGTCACCTCGAGTTTGAAATTTCTTAAAATCGACCTACAACTGTTCAAGGCCCCATATACAGAATATGTGGACCTTAATGCGTATGGTTGACTTTTTGTCGAAAACATCGGTCAATCTATGTGATATATTTTTTAAAATTAGAGGAAAATGTTTCTTAAATAATGATATATCCTTAAGACAAAAATGGGTTGAATCCGACCAATACTTTCCTTAACCTCCATATACCTAATATAAATATTTTCGAACTTCTAGTGTATTTTTGTGCCTAAAACGGATAAAATCAGGCGAAATTTTGAATTACCTTGGAAAAAAGTTCTAAAGTATAACTGAAGAATGTCAAAAATTAATGTAATCAGCCTCCCATTTCTCTGCCACCAATATATAATAATATAATGATTTTCGTCTTTCCACCTGACTTTAAACCGTTTAGGTCAAAAAGTATATATTTTAATGAAATTAAGGTTTCTTAAAACTATATTAATGGTTTGGCGCTCAATATAAATAATATTGGTTTTTGGTCTAAATTGTGAGTAACTACTTGATATATGTATTTTTAATTTTAATGCGAATAATATTGAATCATTCAGGTATTTATTTATGTAATTGTACTGAACTGTATTCAGGAAGTATGCGTATACTGTATAATTGCAGAACTACCTATTCTTTTTATTGAAAAATATATATATACACTAAGAAGGCATCATATAATTTATATTTGATTTTAATTGCTTAAAGAACCTAATTTTGTTTTAATTAAAGCGCCATAAAATATCGATATAATTTAGAATTCCTAACGGTTTTATAAACTGGTTTAACTAAAAAAAATAAACACGCAGTCTATGTATATCTTCATATGTATATAAGTACGTACTAAGAAATATTATTAGCTAGACAAACATTTCGAAACGATGATGACATCGTAAATTTTAGAAGACAAGTAATAAATGACGAATAATTTACGGTATTAAACTATATATAACTGCTGGTAAAACTGGTAAAATTTCCACATTTACTTCGGCATCAACTAATCAACAAAAAATTAATACATACATATATACATACATGTATATTTATACATATTTACAAATCCTTAAAAAAAATGAAATAAAATGCTCTTAACAGCCAAAACGAAAAACTATAAAATTTAAGAGAAAATAAACAAAAAAGAATGAGTTGAAGTTATTGTGAAAAAAGAAAGTAGTAAATAAAGTCGGAGAAAAACCCGTTTAACATGAATTTATTACATTTGCATGCCGTGTGTTGATTTTAGATGCGCAGCTAAAAAAATAATATGTAACGAAATAGAAAGATAATTATATCACAAAATGGTAAAACAATTTTCTTGTAGTAAGTGGAGTAACGGCTTTTAGCGTAGATAAATACAAATGAAAAACTGTATACAATCAGGTGGAAATATACACTCATAATTGTAAAGTTAATTTATTGTACATGGCAACAAAAACAAGAAGCAGGTAGCAAAATTGTAAACGTTTTATGATGATATATGCGAAGTTTAAGGATCGGAGAATTTTGTGGAGTGTAATTGTAATAAATATTGTATACATACATATCAGTGGTATTTCATTAAGAGGAAAGAACATCTTCAAAACTTTGGTTTCAGGAAGTTAAATATAATTATATACATATAATATACAAATGTCATATATGTATGATATAATTCTTATTCGATTTGAATTAAGCTTAGATTTCAATACCCGGATGGATAATAATCTATGCCAAATTTAGCGTGATCAATTATAGGTATATGTATATACTTTATAGGGTCTCCGACGTTTCCTTTTACGTGTTACAATTATCGTGGCAAACTTAATATTCTCTGTTCAGGGTATATATAAAAAAGCTTGAGTGCAGTTGGATTTTACAAAATTTTGAAAAATTGTATTTCTAGAAATTAGAGATTATATATAAACTATAGGTTTTGATGGGTATCCAGTTCAGTCGAGCATAGCTAAAATATTTTAAGATCTTTTTTTTCTCAAAAATGAAAAACATCAGCTCAAGCGAAAAGAAGATAAGAAAGATTGATAGGGAATGAGAGCTGGATTACATAATATACCAAATGCTGATCTTTAAAAAGAAAGCTAATGAGTAGCATGAAAAATTTCACATGCATATAAACGTTTTGTGTATGGTAAACATATATGTATGTACATATATACAAATGC